GTATTTTGGACATGCTTTGTCAGTTTTCATTCAAATTTAGTACATAGGTCATACCGTCCGTCCGTGAGTTCCTGAGTCTGTCCGTCCGTCCAAGTGTCCGTCCGTCCGTCCGTCTGTGAGCAGTCTGTCCAGAGTCATATTTCAGAATCCTGTAAATCGATTCTGTTCATTCTTTGCATGTGCCTAGTACCTTATGTGGGACATATGCACATGCAGTTGTTTAGCGATCCGATTCAAAATGGCCGACTGGCAGCCTTCTTGTTTTTTGAAAATGTTGTATTTTGGACATGCTTTGTCAGTTGTCATTCAAACTTGGTACATAGATTATACATGTTAGGATACATGTCCATGACGATTTGTTTCAAAATCTAGTTTTTGGCCATATTATTACTACATGGAACACATGTTTTGATGTAAATAAATAATCTGTTGTATACGCCACTTGGAACTCAAGTTTCAAGGATAGCTCGCGACAACCCCTCCGCTTTAATATGACGAGCACTTTCAAAAATTTAACGGGGACTGTGTCATTTTCAATGACTTGTTGTATTCTTTTTTTCTCAGGACTTGATGGGAACCCAGGAGAAGTTGTCAAAAGCAGAGGTAGACTGCACTAATCTGAAAGCTGAGAGAGATTTACTGAAGAAAGTCGAGGATAGACTGGTGCAAGAGATAGATTCATTAAGGAGGGAACAGCGAGGTCAGAATTTATTGCTGACAAACCTACAGACAATACAGGTATGATTTTAAGGCTAGGCAAAGATTTCAACATCCTGCGTTGTGCTTTGATCTTTCACCACTATTCAACACACTGCGTTATACACTGTTGTACTTTCACCACTATTCAATACACTGCGTTATACACTGTTGTACTTTCGTCACTATTCAACACACTGCGTTATACACTGTTGTACTTTCGCCACTATTCAACACACTGCGTTATACACTGTTGTACTTTTGCCACTATTCGACACACTGCGTTATACATTGTTGTACTTTTGCCAATATTAAACACACTGTGTTATACACTGTTGTACTTTTGCCACTATTCAACACACTGCGTTATACACTGTTGTACTTTCGCCATTATTCAACACACTGCGTTATACACTGTTGTACTTACCTATCAAGTCCCTTGCAAAGTTTCAGTTCCTATCATTATTCATGAGCTAAAAATTTGCATATCATGTGGAACATGTGGCATTCAGTGTGTGTTTTCTGTAATTAGATGCTTTCAATACTGAACTATGTTATTCATTTTTTCTTGTCTAGAATAATCTTGAGAGAGCCGAGTTTGAAACAAAAGCCAGATTGACAAATCAAATAGAATCACTGGAGAGGGACGTCAACTCGTACAAAAGACGTTTAGATGCTGAAGCCGAACAACATAAAGTGGTTATCAAGTCGTGGGAGGTAAGGTTACCATGGTTACCAGTGATGTCATACACATGATCTTGCTACAAGATTTAACGTTTAACGTATTGGTATATGCTGATGCATCTTTCTCTTGATTGGTACTTGTTATAAATCAGAAATAATTGTGAAAAAGTTGTGCATAGTGTTTACTACACTCTCATGAGACAAGATGATTTTGTTGCTACCCCATATCAATCATGATGCAATGGAGATGACTGACATTTTTAATGAAAGTGGCCTTTCATGCAGAGATATTGAGATTGGTGGAGTTAAAAAAAATTCAGCCTCAGCTGAGTAATGAAATTTTTTTTTTCTTCAGAGTCAGGTAAAATCTCTGCGAGGTCAATTAGATAATGAGTTAGAGAATCACCAGAAGACAAAAGAAGACATGGCAAATGTGAAGCAAGAGTTGCAGAATTTGAAACAACAGGTAAGAACAGTAGTGACAAATCTAGTGCAGGTAAAATATGGATACTGATAGCATGATGGTTGTAGCACTCTGTGTTCATACTTATTCAAATATTATTATATATTTGTGTCAATGTGCAGTTGACTGTAAAAGAGAGGGGATGTGTCTGTGCTTTTTGTATGCTTGCATTGTACTGAGCCTTATTGAGCTGGGATAACATTGACTTTCTATGATGCAATTTTTTTTGAGGAAAATGCATGTACTCGCTTAGCCTTTTTGGGGTTGAAAAAATAATTGTCCTTTGTATTTGAAGTCTATATTAATGAGGTGGATACTTAACTGGGGTATTTTGCCGTAGTTCACACATAGCTGGCATAACATTGACTTTCTATGGTGTAATTTTTTTTTTTTAGGAAAATACACATACTCAAATAGCCTATGTGGGGTTGAAAAAATAAGTGTCCTTTTTATTTGAAGTCTATAATAATGAGGTGGATACTTACCTGGGGTATTTTGCCATAGTTCACACATACAGTACAGTTCTCGCGGAAGCTTTGGCTTTTGTGGCATCATTGTCGCCTACGCATGGCTTTATTGTCGCCTCAGCATCGCATCATTGTGGCATCAGCTTCGCTTCATTGAAAATTGAAGCTGTGTTCGCCTCGCTATTTTGTGGCATCATCGTGGCCTCAGCTTCGCAGTCTCATGGCATCAACATGGCATCAGCTTCAACTTACTGTGACATGAGTATGACCTCATTATTTGCACGCAGAAGGGCAGTAGACAAAAAACATGTACAGAAGTTCGATATGTAATCGATTTGAAATTCAAGGTGAATAAAATAATATGATCAAGAGTAAAATGACATTTTAAAAAGATATCTTGTTTAATTATTTTAGTGTTGCGAGTATTGGGCACCAAAAACTTTGCGAAGTACATTACAATCGGCAAGGTGACGAGTTTCATATTGACTAGAAGGAAAATCGTGATAAATTCAAATCACACGATGC